ACACACACACACACACACTCAGGTGCCCACCATACTTGGATTTTTAAGATTTTTGCCATAGGGTATGTGTACTCACTGGAGAGAGACAGAGAGACACAGAGAGAGGAAAAGGGATGGGGTCGGCATGTGGTGTGGTGACTAAGGTGCTGGACTCTCACATAGTTGATCACGGTTTGAGTCCCAGACTTGGCAGCTTGCTTTCTTGCTCTCCCTCAATTTCAATCTCTCTCTTTCTCTCTCTGGTCAAATAGAATAATAATAATAAATAAACTAAAAACAGACCATTCTCTAAAAGAAAAAAAAATAAAGAAAGAGGGAAAGTGAGAAATCACCTCCCAGAGTAGATGGCCACACCACAATCCCTTCTCCATTCTCCTCTCAGGATTTGGGGCATGCACACACACACACACACACACACACCTGGCATGACTTTCAAGCCATTGGGTCCAGGACTCAAACCATGGTTGATCATGTGTGAGTCTTAGTGCCTTAATCACCATGCCACCTGCTGGTCCATCTTAAGCCACCAGCGTTGGGCTTTGGACCACAGTTGGCCATATGAGATCTGGTTTCCACAACCACTAGGCTTTAAAACTGGCCCATCCTTTTTTTCTTTTTTTCTCCTAATATTTCTTTCATTATCTACCACTCTCTCTCTCTCCAGTGAGCATGCATGCCCTAGAGCAAACTAAAAAAAAAAATTGCTATAGGGTACATGCACTTGCTGAAGAGACAGAGAGAGAAAGAGAGAGAGAGAGAGAAAGTGGAAAGCAACCCCTAAGAGGGATGGCCATGCCACAATCAATTCTCCTCTTGGGATTTTGGGCATGCATTCACATGTGCCCAGCATTTTTTTCAAGCTGCCGGGTCTGGGACTCAAACCACACAGTCAATCATACAGGCTCCAGCTGTCTCAACTTCTATGTCCCTATCTGATCTTTTTTTTTCTTTAAAGAACTATTTTATTTCACTTTATTTATTATTATTTTCTAATTTGATCAGAGAGAGATAGAGAAAGAGAGAGAGATAAAGTGAGAAAGCAAGCCACCAGGTCCGGGACTTGAACCATGATCAGCCAAATGGGAAGTCATACACCTTTAACCAGCATGCCACATGCTGGCCCCCCATGTCTTCTTTTATAAAGTTGATTCATTTCTTCCATGAGAGAGAAATAGCGGGTGGCTGGCAGGTGGTATGGTGGTTGGGGGTGCTGGACTCCCACGTGGCTGACTGTGGTTCGAGTCCTGGACCTGGCAGCTTGCTTTCTCACTTTCCCTCTCTCTCTCTCCCTCTCTTGCTTTGTCCCTCTCTGGTCAAATTAAAATAAATAAATACAGTTAAATAAAATAATTATTTAAAAGAGAGCAAAGGAGAGAGAGAATGTCCCAAAATAGCCTCCATGCTGCAATCCACCCCCAGCCTCAGACACCTTCAGATCACGGGCGTGTGCACACAGTTCAGAGAGACCCTGGGATGCGAACCTGGGGCCTTCCCATGTGGGAACAGCCGTGTTACCATCTGGCCCCTCGCTCGCTGTCTTAACTTGAATAACTCAGTCTCTGCTCTCCCTCCCAATCCCCTGCCCCGCAGAGCTGATAGAGGGACACAAATCAGGCCGAGGGGAAGGGATGAGGCCACTGGCCAATGTCATCCCATCACCTCCCAACGGCTGCTTCCTGTCCTGGAGAATGGGGACAATGATGGTGTCTGTTGGCGCAGCTACGCATTGGTACAGGATGAGAAGAGATGTCACATGGGAAGGGTCAAAGGTCAGGAGCCATCCACACCAATGTCCCCTCTCTCTCTCCCACCCCTACTGGCAGCCACTCACAACCAGGGTTTCTGCTTCATATCTTTCTTTCTTTCTTTCTTTTTTTTTTTTTTCTTTTTTTCTTTTTTTTTGGAGAGGTTTGTGCTATAGGGCGCGTGCGCTCGCCAGACAGAGAGAGACAGAGAGACAGAAAGCGAGAAATCACCCCCCAGGGGGGATGGTCACGCCGCAATCCCTTCTCCTCCATTCTCCTCTCGGGATCTT